GGGCCGCCGCGCCCGGCGGGGGCCCGGTGCCGGAGGAGCAGATGGGGCGGCTGTATGCGGCGCTTGCGCAGCAGCGGGAGGCGATCCAGTCGGGGCGGCAGCGGCTAGAGACGCTGCGGGAGGACCTGCAGCTGTTCCTGTCGGATCACCCAGAGGCGCGACTGCCGGCGGCGCTGGCGTCCATGTCGGGGGCCCTGTCCAACGTCCGGTGACGCCTTGCTGAGCGTGCTGGGTTGCATGTGTGTGAATGTGCGTCATGTAATTTGCACACTGCGCTGCTGGGTGCGCAAGGGGTGCCCTGCGTGGTGCTCAGGGTACAGACACAAGCATGCCGGGTGCGGTGCGCTCCAAAGCAGACGAGCGCGCCGGATCAACTTCGCCGGGGCTCTGATTTTCCCAGGCAGTGTGTTCAGGCAATCGCCAGGGGTGAACAGCATGACGCTGCAGTGCGTATAGATTGGCGCTGGAGCGCCACGTTCCCATCGCCTGCGTCTAGATGCCTGCTCCTGCTCTGGCGCACAGCCTGCTGGCCTGCATGCTATGCTTGCCGCACGCTGTCCAATGCGTTCTTCTGCACTTTGCAACCAAAGTAAGTAGGCATCAGCATGCTACAGGACCTGTTGTGGGCGTGCATGGCTAGGCTGTGTGCAACCCCTGCTTTCCGGCTGGCAAGCTCCTTTGCTCAATTTCAGTCGAAGGGTTGGCAGAGATGGCAGAGCGGGGTGGCCAGCTGCTCCAGGGCACGTGACCTCTTGCTGGAAGGTTTCGAATGTGATGTCCCATCGCTGCAGCATGTGGTGTGCATGAGAGTGGACTGGGTGTACAAGCGTGCATGCGTTGCGTGTGCCTGTCCATGCACATGTGTTGTTGCGTGCAGGCACGTGAGCGTACGGGGACCCTTGGGCTGCGGGGACTTCTTGTGAGCATCAGGTGGGGGAAGTGAGGCCAATGGGAGGGCCGCATCACCTTCCCACTGCACGTGGACATAAACAGTCGCTGGTTCAGCTGCCACGCAGATGCCAGCATTTAGACCCTGACATTTGGCACATTTGGCTCGCCATCCCTGCTCAGGTTGGTCGAGGTTCTCCACATGGTGCAGGGAGTCACATGGCACGGTGGCAGTGCATGCGGCCAGCCCAACACAGCACGATTTTCACAGGGCATCTGCTCCTTCCAGAAGCAAGGGGCAGGATGTTACCGTGAATTCAGGGGAGGCAAGGGGCTGCAGTTTGGAGTGTGCAGCTGCACAACCAGCTGCCGCACAGCCATGGCCCGCCAAAGGGAATAGCCATCCCGGACCTATCATTCAACAAATACGTCCTTTAGATATTGCCTGGACCCTCTCGAGCCAGCCGCGGGCCTCTGCTGGGCCGAGTCAACATGATACAAACTGGCCCAGCACGGTGATCGAAGCAGCCGGTGCGGGAGGCCGGTACACATTATTTTGGTATCCAATCAAACACATGGTGAGGCCCGCGTGTGAAGCCGCTGGAGCTTAGTTCGCTATGTGTGATCCGCGGGCTGGACGATGCCTTGAGCGTGTAGGCCCGGCATATGCGGGCAACGTCGATGCCAGCAATGGGGCCACGGACACAAGCCCCGCACAGCACGCTTTGCCGCGCGTGCACGGTGTCTGAACGGCAGCGCACCTGCTGCCCCCGCCGCACACCTGCCGCTGCACTCACCCGGTCCCGCATCGCGCGCACACTGCAGCAACAAACGGCCATGGCAGAGGCGCAGCACGAGCAGTTGCGCCAGGATCGGCGGCAGCTCCTCAAGCTCGGCTGCGCTGATGTGGACGTAGAAGCGGGCGAGGTGGTGGTGTACCTGAAGCGCTTGCTGTCCAAGGCTGGTCAGGGGTCGCTCAAGCTGGCACACCTGTTCACCGACGGCGGGTGCGCGGGTGCATGCGCGTGGCACGCCCGCCGCCGGGAGGATCGGCCCTGCAACTTTGTGGTGCGGCGTGCCGCTTCTGCCTGGCAGCTTGGCTGATCCATGCCACCTACCCCCAACCCTCGACCCCCTGCCGCAGCGTCCCGCTGTGCCAGGCTGACCTGCGCCTGGCGCTGAGCGAGGACGAGGCGCGGCGTGTGGAGCAGCACGCAGCCCACGCCCTGCAGCAGCACTGCGCCGGGCGGCCGGGCGCCGCAGGTGCGGCGGGCGTCTGGGACAGCCGATGCCCTGCCCGCATCACCCGGGAGCGCGCGTGCCTTGCGCTAGTGAAGAGCTTCGCCGATGCCACAGCGGCGTGTGCTGTCTCAATCCGAAGCTGGCTCCTTGCTTGTGTCGCGCAGGCCCGCAGGATCCCCGGCACGAGCCGCTGCTGCAGCTCTGCCAGGCGCTGCACGCGCACCTTGCGCAGCTGCAACAGCTGCAGCAGGCCGAGGGCGTCCAGGACGGCACCATCCGCGCGGGTGCGCTCAATGCTGTGCGGGGGCGTGGAAGGGGGGTGGGAAGGGGGGGTATGCACGACTTTTCGAGCTTCATGCTGTGTGGTCTGTGCATGCTGTGCCGCCGCAACCTTGCAGCCCGCACGCATGCATGCCCCATCGCGCGTCCCTTGCCTGTTCGGCCACTTTGAGATCCTCACAGCAACCGCGCCTCCATGGCCCCCCACGTGGCCCCGCAGCCGAGGAGGGCGCGGCACGGCGCCTGCTTGAGGTCTCGTCCGCGCTGCGCGCACTGCTGGCCGCCCACCTGCCGCCGCATGCGGCGACGCCGCTGCTGGTTGTTGCGTGCCTGTCCAGCGGCAAGCTCGTGCAGGCGCTGCTGCATTTGTTGGCGCACCAAGGGATGGCGGACCTGGGGAGGCAGGCGGAACTCATGAGTCAGGTGGTTCAGGGATCTTTTTGGCAGCTCTCGGCCCGATTTGGTTCCCTCTGGCGCAAGCTTGCCCCTTCATAGATCCGGCAGCAGGGAATATACGGTCTCATCGGGAACCGCTTGTTGCAGAATCAAACGTCCCTAACAGGGCCTCACTATGCAAGCCAGCGGCGTGCCGCGAGACGACGGCTGTTGCATGCCGCCCGTCCCATTTATCGTGCGTTGCCCACCCGCGTTACCCCAGGTGCTGGGCCTGGTGTCAATCCTCGCGGCCACCCCCGACCTGCGGCAGCTGCTGCTGCAGCCCTCCAGGATCAGCAACGAGCACCTGTCCCTTGCGCAGGTCTGCAGGAGAGCGCAGGGCGTGTCTGCGCACTGGGCCAGTCTTGCCCGCTGCTCAGGCTGGCCAACAGTGACCGCTGGTGTCGCCTAGCTCAGGAGCCGGCGGCAGCACTCTGAGTTCGGCTATGGCAAGGGTCGGGATGGGCACGACTCCACCCCCATGCCGCTTCCCCCTCGCCGCAGGTGCTGCTGCTGGGCGCGCACCAAGCCCGTGCGCTGCTCGCCGCGCCCGAGGCGCCCGGGGATGGCGGCGCGGCGGCGCGGCGCATGGCGGCGCTCGTGGTGCGGGTGCACCAGCAAGTCCAGGTGCGGCAGGGTGGCCTGAGGAGCCGCAATGCAGGGGTTGATGCTTAATCAGCAAACATCCCCGGTTGTTGCGGTTGCCGATCATACCGTGAGGCGCCAAGGCCCACGCACGCACTGCGTTGCCCGCATGTTTGCATTGGGTGCAAACCGCTCATCAAATACGTGTTTGACCCCTTGTTCATGGCGCCGCCAGGGCGCTCTGGCGGCCCAGGCTGAGGCCGGGCGGCAGGCGTGCGGCGCGTGTGGCGCGGAGGGCGACGCCGATATGGATGAGGCCCCTGGCTCCCCCGCCGTGCAGCAGCCACCCCTCGGGCAGCACCACGCGCACAGCCGCCAGCAGCAGCAGCAGAGCAGCCTCGACGCCCCGGGCGGCGTGCTGCAGTCGCCGGTGTGCGCCGCGCTGCGCTCCGCCATGAAGCGGCCGGCCAGCACAGAGCTCGACGAGCTGGGGCGCTCCCTGGGGGTCGCGGCGCGCATGTCTCCGTCCAATGGGGGCCGCGCCACGCCCGATTGGCAGCAGGGCTCGCCGCTCGCCGCGGTCGCCGCGGCGCGGCAGCAGCACGCGCTCGCCGCATGCGAGCACGCGGCGGCGACCGCGGCGGCGGCGGCGCAGCAGCAGACGCCGCCGCCGCAGCAGCCGCGGCCGGGGCACCCGCTGACTAATGTGGTCCTGGAGTCGGCGCGCCGCCTTTCTCAGACGCTGCACGTCTCGCCGCCCGTCTCAATCCGCGCGGCCAGCAGCGGCGCCGCGTCGCCCACGGCCCCGCTCGCACTCAGCCGGCTGCACGGCGGCATCGGCGCTGGTGTCGGCACGGGCGCGTGCGCCGGTGGCACGGCGACGCCGCCTGGGCGGCCTTGCACGCCCAGCGACCGGCCGTCGAGCCCGTCTGCTGCCCGGCTGTTGTGCGAGGAGGCGCCGCTTGAGTTTGTAGACAGCCCCAGCCGCCCCGGCACAGGCCTCCTCGGCCTCTTCTCCCTGCCTATACCCACTGGCCCGCCCGGCCCCGGTGCCCCGCACCCGGCCGGGCGCCCCGCGGGGCCCGCGGGCCTGCGCCCGGTGGCGATAAGCAGCCCCGGCGCGCCGCGCGGCATGGAGGAGGAGGAGACGCCGAGCCCGAGTAGCGGCGCCGCCGCGCCTTGGGGCACGCCTACAACGGGGCAGCAGCAGAGCAGCCCAGATGGGTCGACCTGGGGCTCCCCCGGAAGCTGGGGCCCGGGCGAGGATGGCCCGCACGGCGGCCGGCACGGATCCGTCGGGGCGGCGGCCCCTGCGCTCGCGGCCGGCAGCGGCAGCGGCGGCGCGCCCGAGGGCGAGGACGCCGCGGCGCACCCGCTGCCGAGCTGCGTGCTCCCCCTGCCCATATCGAGCCTCAGCAGCCGACTGGCGGCCATGCAGGCGGGAGGCCTCGTTATCGGGCCGTCGCCCAACCGCGGCGCCGGCGCGCTGCCCTCCAATGGCAGCCCCCTGCGCCGCAGCAGCGCCGCCGGCCTGCCGGCTTGGCCGGGTGTGGGCGCTGGTGTTGGCGTCGGCGAGCAGCAGCAGCAGCAAACGGGCGCGGATGGCACGCAGCAGGAGGAGGCCGATTGCGGCATGGAGAGCGAGGACCCGTCCGCGCAGCAGCACGCACAGCACGCGCAGCACGCGCAGCAGCAGCCCATGGTGCAGGTGTCGGTCTACGGCCAGGACGGCGCGGTGGCGCTGCTGGACCCCGGATTCCTCCGCCCAGACTCACCCATGAGCATGGAGGTGCCCGCCGCAGCCGCGGCCGCGGCCGCCGCCTGGGCCGCCGCGGCGCCGCCGGCGCGCGCTGCGGCCGAAGCCGCGGCGGGGCCGTCCGGTGTGCCGGCGGTCGCGGAAGCTGGAGGGCGGAGCGGCGTCGAGGCTGCGGCGGCGAGTGTGGAGCCCACGGCCCTGCTGACAGGGGGTGACCTTGGCTTGGCACGCATTCGCATGCAGGTGGCTGGCATATCAGCTGCTGCGGCGGCAACTCCGGCCGCAGGAGACGGCCAGGCGGACGGCCAAGCGCCTGCTGCCGTGC